TTTCTCCTTTTCTTTTTTCATTTGTCCCAAAAAATACTTCTTATTTCTATTAAAAAGTCACTTTTACTCATTACTTTTTCATACCCTACCTATCACATCATACCTTTTTACTAATAATCTATCTACTCATCAAATCTTACTTTTATCCATCACATCAAAAGACATTTTTGGAAATTTAATACCAAAAAACACTTTCCTTAAATCTCTTCAAAATCAAAACATCTCATGTTTAAAGGGACGGAAGGAGTATACGATAAGGGTTAAATTAGTATGAGAGGGTTAAATTAGTACGTACAATACCTCAAAAGAAATTTTTGAAAATTTAATAAAAAAATACACTTTCCTTAAATCTATTCAAAATCAAAACATCCCATGTTTAAAAGGACGGATGGAGTATACGGCAAGGGTTAAATTAGTATCAGAGGGTTAATTAAATTAGTACGTACAATTAGTACCATATTATGCATACAATTGAGAGGGTTAAATTAGTACGTACAATTAGTACCATATTATACATACAATTGAGAGGGTTAGTACTATTATACAAACATTGCAAGGGTGGTTAAATTAGTACGCACAATTGAGAGGATTAGTACTATTATATACGCTAATTTGTACTACTATAAAAAATATACTTCCTCCCATATATAAATCTCAATGACATTTTTTCTTGAGCTCTGGAAGTTTAATTTGGGACAAAGAGATTAGGTGCATAACTAATAATGTCTAATTCCTTCATTATATATACTCGGGAATAAAGTAAAAAATATATGTGCCAAATTTGTTTTCTTTTTTTAAAAAGATTTCAACAACTTGCTTTTTTTTATTTTTTAAAAACATTTTTCTAAAAGTGTGAAAAATGCATGTATGATTTAAAACAAAAAAGTGAAATGAATATACTGCCTCCGTTCTATAAAGTCAGTCTCGCTTCGACAAATTTGCGTCCCTTAAAGTCCGTTCCGTTTCAATTAAAAAAACATTTTTTACCACTTACTTTTTCATACCCTACCTGTCACATCAAATCTTTCCTAATAATCTACCAATCACATCCTATTTTTATCCATTACATTAAGGGTATTTTTGGAAAGTCAACACAATATTATCACTGCTCTTTATTTTAATACTTTAATCAAACCGTCCCACTTTACGGGAGGAAGGGATCGGAGTACTATACTATACTATGCCTCATTAGGTGAAGGTGATAGACGAAGAACGTATATGGAGGTGGAGGCTGGATGTGTATATAAAGGAGCAGCCATAGCCTTCACATTTGCAATAATCAAATTAGAAATCAAATCACATATAATTCATCCAATTAATTATAATAATCAAATAAGAAATCAAATCACATATAAATGGCTGCTACTCAAGGAGGTTCTGGCGGCGGCGGCACGTACTGGAGTGCAAGAGAGAACAAGGCCTTTGAAGAGGCGCTAGCGGTGTACGACAAGAACACGCTGGACCGGTGGTACAACGTTGCGAAGCTGGTGGGAGGCGGGAAGACGGAGGAGGAGGTGAAGAGGCATTACCAAATCCTCGTGAGGGATATCAACCTCATTGAGTCCGGCCGCGTCCCCTTCCCCAACTATACCACCACCACCCCTCCTCTTAATCTCTCATCATCATCTCACGCATAAAAATATTTTTTGACAATTTATAGTCAAATATGTCACTATTTGACAAAAAAATAAAAAATAAAAAATAATTTATGGAATGAAGAGAGTTGATATAATTTGAGATGGGTATGGACAATTGGATTGGGCAATAAGACACTTGGGTTGAACCACATTAAAAGATTGAATCCAATCGATTAGTTAGTCCAACTCAAGAGCTTATATACCGGTTATTTTACTCTTGAACTTCCGATGTGGGATGCACTCTAACA